AAGCGAAATACCACTTCTTGGGTGCATCGTTGGTAAGAACGGTGTACGTCCTGATCCCGAAAAGATCAAGGCGATCACCGACTGGCCTGTGCCGGTTGATGTCAAAGGTCTTCGAAAATTCCTTGGGCTAGCGGCGTATTTGCACAAGTATTCACGCAATTACGCCGAGATGACTGTGCACCTCTCTCGTTTGTTGAAAAAGAACGAGAGGTGGTTATGGAACGCTGAATGTCAACGCTCCTTTGATGGTATCAAGCAGAGCTTGATACAATCCCCAGTCCTAGCAATAGACGATCAAGACAGGCCATTTCATGTGGTCTGTGATGCCAGCGATTTCGCAATCGGCTGTGCATTAATGCAGTACGACCGAGAAGGCGTTGAACGCGTCGTCTGCTATCAGTCGCGTCAGCTGCAACCAGCTGAGCGGAAATATCCAGTGCATGACAAGGAACCCCTTGCCATGAAGTATGCACTCGCGAAGTTCAGAGTCTATCTATTAGGAGATAGACCCTTCATTGTTTACACTGACCATGCGTCATTACGCACGGCAGTGAACAGCCCGCACCTTTCACAACGAATGGCGCGGTGGTTGTCATTCTTTGCGGAATACAACTTTACGGTAGAGTACAAACCAGGACGACTTAATGTCGTCGCTGATGCACTCTCACGTCGTCCCGACTTTGAAACAGTCGCGAAACCCAACAGTGAGACAGTCACTGTTGCGGTTATGACGTCCTCAGTCCCATCTACAACGTTGTATGATGATGTGAGGCGGGCGTATGCCCAAGATGGTGAGATTGTGAAGTTGTTGACACATCTCTCCTAACCATCCCGAGAATCGTTGAAACGATTGTCGCCTGCGTATCAATCTGCATCAGATCGATACACTACTCGCGACGGTTTACTGTATTATATAGCCGTTTCTGGTGACACACCACGTGTTGTCATTCCAGATGATACTGATCTGCGTTTGCGGTTCATGTTCGAGTATCACGATGCTCCTATAGGAGGACATCGTGGCCGTGAGAAGACATATCTCACGGTGAGTCGAGACTTTTACTGGCCCCGCCAGTATCAGTTTGTGCGAAAGTATGCTCGCGCATGCGAAGTCTGCCAACGAGTGAAGTCAATTCCTTCACTGCGTGCACCTTTACAGCCTCTACCGGTTCCGGCTGAGTGCTGGGAATCCATCTCAATGGATTTCGTCTTCGGGTTACCCAAAGACGCACGCGGGAATACGGGTATTCTCGTATTTGTTGACAGATTCAGCAAAATGGTACACCTTGTGGCTGTACCAGAGACAATCACGGCAAGTGGCTGTGCTTGTGTCTTTATTGACACCATCTTCCGACTTCATGGGTTGCCCCGTGAACTCGTATCAGACAGAGATCCACGATTCACTGCTGATTTCTGGCGTTCCGTGTTCAAATCACTCGGAACGCGCTTGAAGATGTCGACATCTGATCATCCAGAGTCAGATGGTCAGACGGAACGTGCCAATCGTGTCCTTGAAGAGATACTTCGAGGATACGTACACTCCTTTAAGAGTTGGAGTGAGTTTTTGCCAATGGTAGAGTTTGCCATTAACAACTCGGTGCATGCGTCCACGACCCATAAACCGTTTTACGTGAATGGCTTGCGCCATCCGCGTGTACCCACCTTACTAGAGTGTAACTCTGGTTTAGGGGGGGGGACTCGCGCGAGCAAAAAACAAATTGGTTCACGCTCATCACGCTCTGACGAAGAGGTCATTGCGTTTGATGCCGACATCGATAATATCGATATCGAAGAAGATGATGCCAGTGAGAGTGCGGAAGCCCTCACTGAAGAAAAGTTTGATGTTGCTGCAGTGCGCTCACAGCGCACTGAAGCTAACGAGTCATCAGATGAGTTCATACTGGCTCGTGAAACGGTAGTCCGTTTTGTGCAAGACTCCATAGCCGAAGCGGTGGATAAGCAAAAGCAAAACGCTGACAAGAATGGAAGGGCAAACACTCTTTTATTTAATAAAGGTGACTTAGTCCTACTGTCTACGGTTAATCTACCAAAGCATGTAGTGACTAACTTGGGTAGCAGTAAACTACTACCCAAGTACATCGGCCCATTTCGTGTATTGCACCGCCTAGGCAATGCATACACGATCGAGTTACCACGTAAGATGCGAACGCATCCCACGTTTTACGTTGGTCGGCTTAAGCCGTACCATCAGTGCGCTGCTTCTTCCGATGAAGAACTCCCTTGCGCTCAAGCATCTCGCAGAGAGCCTTGTGCTCCCGATGGTGGATATCAACAAGGGTCTGAAGAGCAGCTATCTCATCCCGAGACCGATCAGCAATCCCACGAGCTACCCTTAGCTCGTCACGAAGAAATGTCAGAGATCTCTCGTTCTCAAGCTGAGCAAAGGCAAACTCAGCTCGATGCTTCAAGACAGTGTCCCCCATTTGGAGACGCCTGTCCCGCTCATGTTCGAGATCGTTGCGCAACCCTTGCGTTACGCGATCAAAGAAGCTCTCGGGAACACACGCTTCCCCACGACTGTGTGGAGAGCGTATTTCCTCCTCCTCCACCTCCATTAGAGGACTCTCGCGGTGGCCAGCGCTATCTAGTTGAGCAGCTGTTGAACCACCGCGACGAGAACGGACGTCGGACGAGTTACCTCGTCCGGTGGTGCGGCTATCCCCCGTCCTGGGATTCTTGGGAGCCCCGCTCCCAACTGATGATCGACGTACTGGGTCTGGTTGAGCAGTACGACGCGGCACATCCTGTGCCGCAGAAGGACCGCCGGAGAAAGTCTTCCCGGCACGGTCGTAAAGGGATTTCAGGTTGTCAATCCCTTCGTACATCTCAGTAGAGATACGTATGCGCCACCACGGGCTGGTAAGGAGGTAAGCCTCCTTAGGTGCTCGTGCAGAGTTGTTCACACAACATGGGCACGAGTCTCCCCATGAGAGGCAGTGTAATCCCTTCTCCCTTGACAGACGATGCAGCTTGTAGCGTGTACCTGTCGGGGTTCGCTTTTCAAACTTATCACGAGCTTTGATAAGTTTGTCGTTCCAAGCGTCACGACCTACATCCTCAAGGTTATGGATGTAAGCGTTCCACGCCTGAAGCAGTGAGGGACCATCACGCTTGTGATTCCCACTGTACCATCGATATTTAAAGAAAGCATCGATGAAGAATTCATTCTCAGCGCGATAGTTTTTCGCGCTGGAGTCAAGGTGATGGATCCTTGACGAATCGAACAATCGTGTTCGATAACGATCACTCGTCGTCGCCGACAAGTGATCCATGACAGACTTTGGAGGCATCCCTGCCTTCTTCTCGGGAGCGAGACGCAACACATTGCGGTCCCGCTCTTCCTGCGATGTGCCGACAGAAGGACTGGCACCTCGTTGCGAAGTGGTGTCCATAGGAGAACCGACACCACTATTAGCGCCCGAGTCTCGCGACCTCGAGCGCCTTCGCTTTGGCGATGGTTCATCTGATTCATCAGATGAACCAAAGATGCTACGACGCAAAGCATCGTCCATGCCACGCTTGGCAGGCGGCTTGGATTCAATCGCCGTCGATACGGATCCGTCATCCGTATCAGGAGAGTACGAGACACCGAGCTCGTACTCTGTGAAGACATGAGTGTCTTCATGACCAGCGCCTGCATCACCAAGTGACACAGGCTGGGTCGCTTCAGCAACCGATGAGACATCTGTTGCTGTGGTTTCTGCTTCGGCGTCCGCACAGAGACGTGCAGACGCGCTCTCGGCGGCCTTGCTCGCGCATCGCATGGGCTTGTTTACCATGCGATGAGATGTTGGAAAGTGGACACGGACCAACAAGTGCAAACCCTGTCCCAAATGATTTGAACGAGTATCCATTTAGTCAATCAGTCACTAAAGTGACTGATGGTTATGGGGGTGATGTAACGGGGTGAATGTTCTAACAATTTATAAGAATTGTTAATAGTGGGAATCGTTACATAACAATTTATAAGAAATTGTTAAATAGAATATAACTATAAGAGTTATATTCTCAGAATATTGTCATAAGGACAAATATTCTGTAGCACTTACGAGTAATTCCTAATTGGTTGATATAGGCCATTATATCAACCAACGAAGACGCGCCACGACAGACGCACGCAATGAGTGGTGAGCAGATAGTTGATATACACATTTGTATTTAGAGATAGTTAGATGAGAATAAACAGTGGTTCATTAACAGACATTAACTATTATAAATACAGTTCTACTTTTTACTTTAACCAAGTACTCGCTTCTTCTTACCGTCTTCCTCTGGACGTACCCGTGTACGTGAAGTTACGAGGCACCGCCTTATTCTGTCATCAGAATAAGTAGCTTGTACTGTCACCAGTACAAGCTTCAGGGTGCCCCGTTACACTATTCCTCAGTCTCTTCACTCATCACGCTACACGCTTGTGCGCCATTGTATTCCATGATCTGGCTACACTGTTTGACTGCAAGCAGTTTTTGCTGCACTATAGGTGATCAATCACTCTCTAGGACCTGGGAAATGGATCCAATTTGTATATTTCGTTGGTCATTCATTACTCTCTTTTTTTTATGTGCAATTGAGCTTCGATGCGTAAACAATATGGAACACACAATATAACTGGACCAGGGTATCCAAACGGGCCGCCTTGGTCTGCTGGTTTGGGTCACGGTTCCGGGGTCTAACCCGGACCAATGGCCCCGGATCGGAGACTCACTCGCAGACATTTGTTTAAACAGGCGGCGATAACAAACTTGTAGTACGGATACCGGTAATCCATCCAGTAATCTTCATCGAGCCTTTTTAGGCGAGAAGCATGAAAAGTCCCCTTTTTCGCCCCGACGTAGAATTGGGCCCAACTCGCCAAAATACAGGCTCGTTTCTGCACTGCAGTTCCGGATTCTTTTCCGACATGTGGGTAAAAAAGAGCGCCTCACGACCGACTAGCGCTGAACCACTTGCACCATTACTGACCCGCTCGCTACCTTCGAACTATGCGGTCTTTCGTAGCGCTGGTTGCGTTCAGCTACGCGCTCGCCTCACACCGTACGCGCCTTCTGTTGTGTATGTGAGGAAGAGCCCTGTACTTATCGATAGTCACTGTGTTTTATTTGTTTGTGCGGGGATGGCACAGCGATCACGACGGCCGAGGAGGAGGTGACGATGAGCAGACTGAGGCGGTACAAAGGAGGTGGTCGTAATCTAATTGAAGATTCGATAGACACGACGCCCTGGAGAGAGGATTACACACCGGGAGAAGTAACTGCAGTACAGTACCAGGGGGAGCGCACTCACGGTGTCTGGCCCCTCTCCGCGGGGACAGTAGTGCTCCATCGACCGGGAATTGTTGGCCCGATTTACTCTTTTGATGGTGGCATGAAGACCTTCAAGCGCCGTAACGTGGCTTTTGAATCCGGTGTGAAAATGAAAAAGAAAAACGCTGTGTTTGTCGTCCAAGCTGGTGGCGTACTTCGTAATGTGATTATTGCTGGCGGAGGCGGCATCTTCTGCGAGACACACAATTGTGCGCTCGTGAATGTGTGGTTCAAGGACTCGGTTCAGGCAGCTCTGCACATTAACTCAGGCACAGGAATTACGACTGTTACTGGTGGAGGGGCCAAGAATGTAGCCGGCCGAGTCATTTTTGGTCAGGCTTCTGGCACGGTTGTTGTCAGCGGTGGCTTTCACATGGAGCACTCGGGTATGCTGTTTGAGTCGTGTAGCACGTGTGGACCCGCTAAGCGTGGAATTGTCGTGGACGGGGTGGTGAGTTTGAACCCGACGGCGGAGCTCATTCGTGTGAATAGCAACTACGATGACAGAGGAACTATTGCCAGTGCTACCATTACCACGACGGATGCTGATTACCCATTATGCACGCTATACAATGGAGGAGTCGTCCCCCAGAAGCTGGGAACTGGAGCTTTTCCTCCAATCTGTTCGTTCAGTAGATCGAATGTGAAGATCAAACCTGTGGAGCAGGCAGTGTGACATCGATGGAAGTGTTTAGTGGTCAAGTACTGCAGTCGGTGCTATTTGCTCAGCATTCCGTGTTTTCAGTATTGTAAACGAGCGACAGTGAGCGTCGTTGTAAGCTAGAATCGCGAACACAAACTAGTATCTATGTAAGTACACGAAGGAAGTGTACGAGTCACCCCTATTGTTGTATCTTCCTAGGCGGCATGTGCAACCACAATAGTACGGACCTAAACGCATGGGCATCCATGTTGTTTGGAAAGTCAGTACTTAGCGCTTGTCCATGACTTGAGAGTCACGCAAGCAACAACCACACACACGTGGACTTACGCAACAAAATAGTGCCTGGTTGTGCATGTGTGATGTAATACCAGATGTCAGGCTTTCAAGTCAATCGAAGGACCAGAATGACGCTGGCACTCACCTCGCACTATCGAAATCCAGTACCTCGTACAGTTTATTCAGCCGCGCGGTACCCTCAGCTTGCAACTCCCTGCTACAACTGCCCGAAAAACTTCGAGATCACCACAAAAACTCTGACCCAGTTGATCTGTGACATTTGACGACAGCCACTGAGCCCATTTTCCATCAGGAAACGTCAAGTGCTAACACTCTTTTTATAGATGTACTTGGACTGGCAAACTGGTAATGCCCAGTTAGATTGTATCACTCCTTCTTCTTCTTCTTCTAAAAGACGCTCCAAACCTGATAAGAGTCGGGCTCGATGTCGGTGTACAACCTGACGGAACCCATAGCTGCAGTGGTTACAGCAAATCAGGGCACTGGTAAGCAAACGAGATTTCGCTTTGCCGACACAACCGTCTCACGTGACGGCATTTACGACAAGTCTCAGGATGTAATGCTTCAATGGATATGGTCAATACAGCCCGAGTCGCTTGGTCAAAAACGAGCAGATCACTAGCAAATTCCGACATGGCTTGTTGAGCAATCGGTAGGTTTGCCCACGCAGGAAGCTATTCGGGTGCATACACATGTGCTACAATCATCCTACTCGCATGTTGAGCTCGCAGACGAATGGATTGCAATACTATACTGAATACAGACCGTTTTCAATCGCTGATCGAGCGATTGCTAAGTAGCTTAGTATGGACAGCAGATAGCTAGCAGCTACCCATGCGCAAAACACGCAAGGGACCCTTCATTCGTGCTAAACTACTACAATATCCATCCTGTTGTCGCTCCGGAGCGACAAACGCATGCTGGGTAGCTCCCTATCCTTATGATCCGACGTCGAGTCATGTGACAGAGGGACAGTCGACGCTTTGGCGTCTTTTCAAGATTCAAGAAATAACTTACCGTTAGATTCCCGACCATATGTTCGCGAGCCTACGTCTCGTCATACTTGACGTGGTCAACACAATCGACACAACCAGCCACGGCCGGCATCGTTGGCCAACGTCGCTCGTGAACGTCATGCGTCTGCTGCAGCGTCTGCACACTCCACGCGCCCAGTCCCGACCGCGTCTGCAGCTGCTTTATCTCCGCACGTTCTCTAGCGACACGCTGGATCCTGTCAAGCATCCGCTCCTTATCTCAGCGTCTGCTGCGAGCGCCGTTCCCTCGGACACCTCTCCGTCGTTCGCTGTCAGCGCTTTGAATGGCTCTACGAATGGCTACACTTCGATTAAAATGCCAAGAGAGGCAATGCAGTTCTTGGCTTCATACGAGGAAGACGATCAGATGGTGCATGAGCAGGACATTGAGTTCACTGCACAGCGCATTGGCTTCCCCCTGAGCGAGACGGAGCTGAAGGAACGCACCGAGTTTCAGGTACAGCAGCAGCATGACGAAAACGACGGGATTCGAGAGGAATCGAGAGAAGAAGCGACGGCCAAAGCCGAGCGGATCATGGCCGTGCTGCGCCACTCCATGTCGGAGCTGGAGATCGGCAAAGTCATCCATCGCATTGCTCAGTATGCTACCCTCCCTCGTGTCACGGGTCTTTCACGTAAGCAGTTTCTGAGGTCGCTCGAGACAAGATTTGGCACAAACCATACGGAGGAACTTGGCTACATGCTAGCTTTCCTACAGGGTCGTGACGACGTCATTGACCAGCTAGAGATTGACTCACGAATGGGGGACGAGTATGCTCGTAGGACCGACAGTGGACAGGAAACACGTGCTGTTGCAGAGACGACGGACGATTTTGTTGTACCCCAGATCATGGGTCTGCACCCGGACTTAGTAGCTGACCCCCAGTTTGTGAGCATTGTGTTCTGTTACTGCCGATTGGCGTGTTTGAACTCGCTCAAGCTCATGCAGCGACCAGCAGCAGGTTTCAGTCGCGGACCGAAGTCGAGTTTGTGGCAGGTCAAGGCTGATTTCAGAAAAGTGCTAGATACAGAGGGATTCTCGCACTTTGCCGACATGCTTGGACTAGAGAAACACACCATCAAGGGCGAGGATGAGAACGCTGATGCCCTGGATGCTGAATGGGAAGAGTTCAACCTGGAAAATGACCGTATTGACTTTCGGATGCTATTGTCCCAGACCAAGGGTATTGTCGATTTCATGAAAAATGAGCTACCCAGTGAGACTATTTCGAAAATGCTTGTAGCGATGCTGGCGTCGGTCAAGACGTCGAAACTGCATCGCAAGATTTTTCAAGAGATGGTGTGTAACGTCCAGACAGCGTTCCCCGAGACGTTCCACGAGCAGCTACTATCAGAGCTTGTACCGTTTCTTTCCGGTGACAATGCAACGTACGAGGATTTTGACTCAAAAGCTGCGACGACTGCTTTACAGCACCATCAGATGCGAAACGAGGCTATCATTCGCGCTTTGTTGGAGACGCGTATGCGTGTCGGTCACATTCTTATTCACGACATCGATGATGTGGAGCCTACCAATTCGATTCCGAAGAAGCTGACCCCCGAGCAACATGAGAAGGTGATTACGACGGCTTGGAATATTGTGTCTGTTTTGGATGACCGCAAGTATCACATGTTTTTCACCCGCTTTCTCAAGTACAAGCTTGCGTGGCGACCCAATCGTACCACTTTCGGAGAAACGTTTCTTTCGGATGTGCGCAAAACACTTGGTCCTCGCGATGCGGACGCTATCATGCCTATGTTTGAAGAAGTGTGCCAGCAATTATCAGTGGAGACGCTTACAATTTGCCGTGTAAAACTTCGTCATTCCGGAAAGCGGCTACGAGGGCGAGGTGCGCTGGAGCCACTGAATGAAGCTGGACGTGAACTTCTCGAGACCGCATGGCAACCCTCTCATTGCGCATTCTACCGAAATTTGCCACACGGCGTGACGAAAAAGCATTTGGAGAACGCACTTGCTCACGTGGGAGGTGTCAAGCGGTATATCATATTCTCCGATCCCATCAACGGTCCGCCGGAGTCATTATTTGAGGATGAGGATGACGTCGTTGGAGTGGAGCAAGAAAGCGATTCGGATCCTGTTGATGACAAGGATGAGAGCGCACAGATGAAGAAAAAGAAGAAATCAACAAAGGCGGAGCTGAATGACATGAAGGGGTTGAAAATGCCCAAGCACAAGAGGAAAATTGTCGCAAGTGACAAGAAGACACCGCACCAAGCTGTTGTAGAATTTGAGTCGGAGAGTGCGTGTCGCATGGCGACAATGCGTGCACTACAAATTTTCGGCGTGATGATGTCAGGCTGGAACGAGTACCGACCGGTGTTTTCATCACCAGCAGATGGGCGCTCCAGCATTGCTCTAATCAACGTGCCTTATGGCACTAAGGTCGGGGAACTTGTGGATGAAGTGAACAGGATCCTTTTCAAGGCTGGCTTGAATATGAAAGTGTCTGGTCTAGTTCCGCGAGGTGTTATGCTGACAAATGGTCGTTTGGATCTGCGTTTCCCATCATTTGTGGAGGCCGCACAAGTCGTAGATCTACTGAATGCACATGTTAGCAGGATGAAGCGACGTCGAGTTCTTTCGAAAAAGGACATGTATCGCTATAACGAGTTCGTCAAGCTTAAGAAAAGAATGAAGGTGAAGGAAAAAAGTGCGGAAAAGGAGCGAAAGAAGGAGGAAGAAGAGCAACTCGCACGAGAAGAGGATGGTGACATTCAAGAGGACGAGGATCTTTTGTGTCTCGGTGTTGATGAGGACGACGACGACGATGACATTGAGCTGATCGAAGAGGGTGACGGGAACAGCGAGGACGAAGTGGACGAGGACGAAAACGCCGACGAGGATGACGAGACGGCGAACGCCAAGTCACGAAAGAAGTACACACTGGTAGTGTCCGAAACCCTGGAGGAATACTTTGCCGAGTGGCTTGAGGCTGAAGCAAATATGACGGACGAGGATTTGGCACTCAGCAAAGTGCTTCGTCCGTTTGATGTCACGTGGACCCCGATCGCGAAGCCCAAGAACAAACACTTGTACCTTTAACGACCTGGTGACTCACCATAGATGATACACTGACGACGATACATGTAGCAAGCTTTCAGCACTACAGACCGTCCCGCAAAGCACAACACGGACCGATAGCGTACCAAACTTTGTATTGTGAATAAATCCCTAGACGCATGGACACCTCTTTTCTTTCTCATTTTATAGCTACGCACGCAACGAGAATTTGCGCGCTTAATATTACATGCCGGCGTCTGAAGAGTCCGTACATGTCGTTCTGTACCACCCAGCTCTCCCGATACGTCCTACACTATATCGACAAACGGTCCGGTCAAAAGAGCAGGAGATCCTTGATGATGCGATCGGAGACCGTGGCCGTTCCAGCTCTGGTTCCTGAGCGGACACTGTCATCAAATGCGTGTGCGAATCGTTTATCACGAGCCATCATGCCTTCCAACAGCAAATTCGACTCGGCGTAGCGCCGAATCAGGTGCTCGCAAAAGCTGTCGTATTTTTTGTTATCTTTGTAAATGAGCCGCCCCGTTGCGTAGCTCGCAGTGCGATACGCCTCCACAAAGGTGCCTGCAACACCATCTTGAACTTTAGGCCGAAAAACAACCCACCGCTTAAAAAGCCACGGCAAAGTGTTCTCGTCCTGGAAATCACGCTCTTCCAGCACGCTCTGTTGGCAGATGATGGCCCGACGTTCACTTGGTATAAACCGCCGACACACAATGCTGTTATAGCTGACGTTCGGCACACCGTGCACATTCAACGACCACTTGCCCGTAATCTTGGAATAGACGTGGGCGACATCTTTCTCCAGTGGGGTCACCACGACATAGTGCTTCTTAGCGTGTTTGATCGAGATTTTCTGAGCCACATTTGTCTCCCAGCAAAAGTCAAACATATCGTTAACTTTGCACGGGAAAAACTTTTGGTTGTGGATAGTGTAGCTCTTCTCGGTAATGGCGAGACGCAGTTGCCAGTCGTCCATTTCAATCGGGAGACACGAGATCACTTCCGGTGCAAAGCTGTGGCTCTCCGAGCTAATGTTGACAAGTACAAACGACGAAATGTGGAGCAGTTCCTTCTTGCGCTCGTCACTGAGCGAGTACCGTGTTGACGGGTCGATCGTATGCACGCGACGGGCATCGTCAGTCTCAATGTAATTCAACGGATCGTTACTGTGTGTACCATCCGTGTCTTCTCCACTATGATCATCCATTCGACTCGGAAGCACCTCGGCGCGGAATGCCGCGGGCGGCGCACTCAGCGTAGCCGCTGGACTCATTCTCATGCCAGAGCTCATCTCCTCAACTTTTGCCACACTGTCTTGCACGAGACGCGCGAGACGTGTCGCTCGCTGTTGCTGCGACCCTTGACGTTGCAAACAGTCCACTTGGTCCATCAATACAGCGTGGAGCTCCTGGACATGAGTGCGAAGAAATTGCAGCTCCAGTTTCTGCTTCTTCCGGCATCGTCGAGACGCCGCGTTGATCTTCAATTGGCGTTCACGAGACACTTTGGTCTTCTTCGTACCTGCAGATGCAGTCCCTTGTGTCTCTGCTCCCTCCTTCTGCTTCTCCTGAGCCGTCTGTTTTCCAGCAGCAGCAGCAGCTGTTGAAACGATTGGCTCCGCACCGAAACCGTTTCGAGCTCGCGTGGGACTCACGACGTCCATTGAATGCGGCAGCTCAGCCCGCATGGCCAACATCGACGTGGCGACAGCTGCTCGAGGCGACGTCTTGTCTCTTGCTGTCATATGGTCGTAAGTGCGCTTTCTCGGCGACAGCTTCAGGGTCTGGTCTTCAGAGGACGATTCCAAAGGGGGAGGGGCAAGCGACGTGACGTACGCCATGTCCAAGCACGTGCCAGAGCTCGAGCTGGTGACGGCTGGGGCGGGAGAAGGTCCCACGAACGTGCCAAAGACGCGGTCAGTTGAGGTCATGGGCGACGTCGGAGGACTTGAAGAAGCGGTCGCACGGCGTTGGCACGAGGTGTTAAAGACTGCGCAGATTTCGTCCCCGTCTTCTTCTTCTTCAATATGCGGTGATGGTGTCACGAGGGACAAGTCGATGATGGACTTCATAGGGGACGAGGAGGTACTATAGAGACCGCGAGGAGGGGGGGAGGGGGAGGGACGAAGGGGATGTCACGCTCGCACAGAAGGGACAATAGAGCGGGTGGGGGGTGACAGGGTACCGGTATCCTTGTAGTACCGTTTGTGACGCCCGTCGTGATTGTCGATTTGCATACAAGGGAAGGTTGACGAATGATTTTGTCATCAAGTGACGAGGTCGTTCATAGACGTCTGTCTGTCTGTTTGCCTATGAGTATCTGCCTTTCGTACGAAAGTGACGAGTCAAGCTGTCGACTTTGGTTGCTTCTGTTTATGGTAAATGTTATGATCGTGAGGTTGGTGGAGCAGGAGCCTCAATGGTTGCAACCACATGGTGCCAACGGACATTACTAACCTCGTGTTTTATCATTGATACTGTGGCCACATTTACGCAAGTATCTTGGAAAGGGTTGTAACGGTCGTGCAGGCTGGTAAGCACGATATCGAGCGGACCCGCGTTACTATGGGTAGAAAGAAGCGGGCAGCTGGCACGTCTGTCAGGCCTCCAATTTGAATCGTTAGGTCACAGTGGTGCGTCAAACCGGACGATCTAAAGACCCAATGCATCTTACAAAGCGGTGATACTTCATGACCCGAGTCTTGGGACTTCATGGGTCGCATAGCATCGACTGTTCCTGATGCCTCGATCGCCTTTCTTGCTAAGGTGCCTACGATGTCTTAATTCGTGCTCTGAAATGGGCTTGCATTGCTTTGTTCTGTTAGACTTACCCTACAAGGATCATCTGCAAAGCGTGGATGCTAGCGTATCGTGTACAAAATGATACGCCGCTAACCACAGGATCGACCAGTGCAGTTGAATACCTTCGCTCTTGTAATTTGTCGGGTAAAAAGGCTTCAGTAATAGTGCTGGACACGTATCAGGTGACTTTGTCTATTCTTTTTAGTATTGGGCGTTTAGCGAGAACTACCCCACCGTCTGCGTGCCGACAACCACATCAGTCAGAAATAAGGGGCTCGCGATAACGCCCCTGTTCTTGTTCAGACGACAAAACGGTGTTTGGACACCGCCTGCATTAGATAACAAGTTGATTGTCTCAACGCGTTTATTCAGCGCTGGAAATGGGTTGCACTGGAGGCAGTCCGTTTCACATGAACTTCTACTTGCGAATTACTACAGATATCGCTGAGCCGACAATGCAGGCCCATCTGGCCGCTGGTAAAACACATGCTGTTGTGATCGACTTTGCGCAAGCGACCGAACGTGCCCCCCGTCCAGCAGCACCTTTTCTTACCGCAAATGATATCCGAGTTGTCACGGCTCTAGGTGAGCGACTCATCAAACGGGCTGAAAAGTGTCTTCGGACTAATCAACATCTTCTTAGACCGGCCATAGCGCCCAGCTGGATAAAGCTACTGCAAAAGTCATCGATTCTTGATTTATTACAACATTGTAGGCTTTAACTATTTTTGCATACCACCGAATGGAAAATCGATACGACGTTGGCTTCGAGTTATTTCACTCGAGCAAAATTTCATTGTCAAGAAGGCATACGGCACCGATGTACATTCTAGCTATGGGCGTATAAATTGATAACATGTATAGCTCGAGACACATGTAGGATGTAACGGGGTGGCCCGTTACATGATATTGACACCAAACGGTGTCAATAGAGATATTGTCTAGCGTGACAATTCCCTGCCATTATTACCCGACTGGATAATATTATAGGATTTTCATCCCCTTGCAGGACAATATTCATGCGCTGCTCAAAGATTGGTTGATAAACGACGTATCAACCAAGGTTACCACCAATCGCCGCTAGACGCGCGTAATGAGTGGTGAGCTGGTTGTCGTCATACGACGACGTAGTTGAAAATAGTTAAATAAAGACTGAAGTAATATTGATAGCTCAACTATATCAAATACAGCTCTCTTTTTACCTTTTACTCAAACCAGCTGTTTGAGTAGATTAGCTTCCTCTGCACGTACTAGTGTACGTGAAGTTTCGCTGTACCCCAAACAAAGGGTGCCCTCTTTCATCTTGGTTGCAGATTGAAACCTTACTATCGTCGCTAGCAACAGTAGCCTTTTTGGATTTCACGCTTCTCCAATCCTACATCATATTAGCGAGCTCACACGACAAGGTATGTTGCTTGATTGGCGTCAAGTGTAACCCACTAAAAATCTTTTGTAGTAAATGCGCCGTCCATTCGCATACCATAGCACCACCTTAAGCTTTGCTTTTTAAGGCGAACATAATAAGCAACCCGCACATTTTCTGTCCCTTCCCGACAACAATTTATCTTTCCATGACACGTGCACTGGAGTCTTGCAATGTCTTCGTCTTGTTCTCCCCTCCTTCAAGCTGGAATGTGAAGACAATTGCCGTAGGATAGTTAAACATGAGCAATTTACAATAGGACCAGGTAGGTGTACTTAACATATGTTGCATACTGTCCCCCACCGTCGATTGTGGTCACTCCTTGCTACTCGGATTTCATTATATGGTGAAGGTAGTAGTAGCTCAATAATAGATTATCACAGTCGCCGACTTAAAAGTGCGTAATAATTTTCAGATTTAAGGTGTAATCATTTGTTATTATCCTTTGTAGACGAGATTGTAAGATCAGAGAGCAAGCTCAACAGCTCGTCCCTTAATATAAATAATCCAGTTCGGAGAACTGGATCAAGTTACAAAGCGCAATACAGCAGCAGTCACTGAATAATTAGCATGATGCTTTTAATTTCTCTATCAACCCAGAAGTGTACTCATGCAACGCGATCAGCCTTGCAGAGCAGCGTCCAGTGTTTGCTTGCATGATATTATTCACCTTTGGTCGAGTTGAAGCTTATCACATGGGAGCGCCACTATAGTGACCTCGCGAAAGAGTGATTTTGAAGATGTCTGTACCTACGGGGGACAGGCTAGATCGTATCTGGTACGAATCAGGTACACGTGATCGCGTTATTTACAGACAGACAGACACACACACAGACTCACATACACAGACAAGTACGATTTAAAAGCTCGGCATTCAACCTTGCGCACCGTCGCTGGCTACTCCGCCCTTCGAGATCGCAATCATGTACACCAGAATGTATCAGAATTCTAGGATAGATCCCGTGCGCCATGTATTATTGATAGCAGTTAGTCTATGATAGATCTCGTATGCCTGCCTAGTCCTGGCGATGCTTCGCACTTGCTACCGCGTGCCTCTCCACGTCACTGCGTCACGAGTAGATTTCAACGGTAGTCTTCCAAACACTGCTGCGGTTTCGCAGGTTTCAATCTTGAAACCGAGACCCGAGTCCGCATCTTTCTCGACTTGGAGGTCTTTGGGGTTCTCATGTCGCTTGTTGAACATGTTCCAGCGAGCCAAACTGACGAAAGCAGAGCGAAGATCTGCCTTGGATAACATGTGGCTGTCGGAGCGTGGCGAAGACATGAGCGGCACTGAAGATGGCAACGGAATTGATGCTGTTGAAATTGTTTGGCGCTGTTAGCTTTGTCTGTGTCAATGGTTAATGGAACTATCAGGAAGCAACGCTAGTCTCACTTGTGGTAACTTTCCAGCCAGGTAGGTCGTTACGAACCTCAAACGCTCTGTGGACCGTTATGACACCACGAACCGCGACACCCAAGCACACCTTTCAGTATCATCGATGCAACTTCAACTACCTGTTTGCAACGGTCGGCGCCACACGTGAAACGTGTGGTCGTAAAACGAGGCGGAACCGATAATGGGAGCGTTGGCTGGCAGTGTGGCTGGATGCTGCCACCAGTCCACGCCGTACGCGAGCGAATCGTGCCGGTCGTAGCTCGCTACTATACGCAGTGAGGACTTGTCCGCGACCAGCTCTAGCACGTGGAATCCGTTGTGCATGCATGCAGCCAGCAGTAGCTCCTGGAGCAGAACAAGAACCAACCACTTCGTTATCTCACCAAGCCCCGTACGCTAGTAGAACTAAAGCATTGGCCTACCTTGTGACTTTCCGCTGGATGCCACTTGAGTCGCCAGACGCCACCGCCGGCACTGCACACGGCGAGTGGGTTTGACATCTTGCGATGGTCCCACACCGCAACTTGTTCATCGTAGCTGCCTACAGCAACCAACCATTCATCATGCGGGTGGAACTGGATGCTGCACACACCCATTGAGTAATGTAGTGTATTCTTAAAAGTCGGCGCTGCGAATCCAGCACGAAGGTCCCATCCTTTCAAGATCGCGTCGTCCGCGCCTGAAAACAGCACGTTGGGGTCGTGGCAGTTAAAGGCTGAGATCCATGCCTCGATGGGTGAGCCATACAAGTCGTGTGCGCGCCACTAACATGCGAGACAATAGAAGCTAGTAAGTACACGGTCCATCAAGACTTCTCAGGTAGCTGCAAGCGTCGCGAGCTCGCGGCCGGAATAGATTGACATGCGCACGAGCGCACATAACATACCTTAGCTTGCTGAACGATGCCCTGTGGTGCAACGTTCCAGACCGATACATACCTACCATTTCAAACAAAAAAAGCGGTAAGACTCGCGACTGCATTGCAACGGGTGTGCTAGTGAAAAGACGTACCCGTTCGAGTGGCTTGCACAGATAGATGGCTGAGCATTGATGTGTACGCGGTTGTTCCAGTCCAGTGACAAGCACATGGAGTCAGTATCTTCATCGGTTGCTACTCCCGATTCCCGCAGCGTCTGCTTGTCCCCTGTTTCAGCCAACTCGTACAGCTCGATCGAGCCACCAGCCGTAGCAACGCCCAATATCGCCTTGTCATTCATGGCCTGCGTGTTCCATTTGATATCAAAAACTCCGCTGGAGGTCGCAGTTTCCTCGAGCTTGCAGACCGTCACGTCCGCATGATCAGTATCCGTCGCTCCGTTGCAGTCCAGATGGAATCGCTGCAGCGTACCACTGCGACGGTCACAGGTTCCGCCAAACTCTGCTGCCTTCTGGAGCTGGTACGTGGCCACCACCATCGACGACTCAAAGCCAGCAACAGGACACGACTCGACACAGTCCGCCGTGTTTACGGTGTCAAACGTTGCTAACGTCTCCATATTGCACGCTGTCGGTTGCTACAAAGTGGACCTGCCGGAACAAGCTTGGATTCCGTATGTTTACGAGCATTGTCTCAGCCATTCTGTGCCATTCATTGACATGAGCAACGCAAGCAGCAGCAGCTCCGATGACGAGCGGGATTTTTTCAGTCACCTACAGAGCGACGACTTGTTTGAAGATACTGAGACCCAGCAGGCGAAACGTCGCACAGCCGAGCAATATGTGGAGCAGTATGCCGAAAGGGACTGGGGACTAGCAGCTAGACAACGGCGTGTACAGGGTGCAGGTGAAGACGTGGTGACGGAAAACACTCTGGAGCTCTGCACTGGCAAGAAAGTCGTCTTCCAAGAGAAGCAGGGCCAGCAAGCTAAAGTCTGGGACTGCGCTTTGGTGCTGGCCAAGTTTCTAGCAAATGAGGCGTACTTCCCGCGAGATTTTTTCGTCAACGACCGCGTGATTGAATTGGGCTGTGGCATTGGCGTGCCTGGCTTGGCAGCAGCTGCACTACACGCCAAGGAGGTGCTTCTTACCGACATGGTACAATCTTATCTTCTAGCTTGTTTGGTGTTGGTCGTTTAGCCACTTACTTGTTGTGCTTCTGTTGGTTGGTAGCCTATGGCCATTCCCTGGATTGAAGCCAACATCGAACGGAACCAGACACTTAGTTGCATCACCAGCAACGTCCGTGCTCAAGGACTAATGTGGGGCGAGCACGAGGCAATGGAGCTGCACCAGAGTTTCGACGTCATTTTGTGCTCCGACCTCGTATACGGTCATCACGAGACCTCGCAAAAGTTGGTAGAGACCATTGTGCATTTGTCACACTCCGATACGCTCATAGTTTCCGCCCACGAAGCCCGATTTGCGGGCGATCAAGGCGAGTCCTTCTTCTCGCTATTGTCCAAACACCGTTTCCAAGTCGAATCAGTGCCTCGAGACCGTCTCGATGGTGTCTACCGCGCCTCGAACATGCACGTGCATCTGATTCGTCCTCCACTGAACAATGACTAGAACATTCATTGCCTAAAATAAAAAAGAGCCGCCCAAACTTACTGCTCGCTGCTCATAAAAACATACGATCCAAACAACTTGATTACTGGATCAATCGACCAGTGACACGCGCGTGTCATACCCTATTCACCAATTACAATGATTGGTCTCCGTCGTTCGATGGCACGGACGCGGCGGTGGATGCTGCTACCTAGCGCCTCTGTCTCGTCCACCTCAACGCCGCAATCCCTGTTCCAAGGTGCGTACAATCTGGACACGAGACGCTGTCAGGACCCTCTACTACGCGCCCAAGACTTTCAACTCACGCTGGACGTAGTCACGGAAGACGAGGAGCTAGTACTGGCTGACGAGTGCTCTCACAGGCTCAAGCGCCGCCGGTACGAGGAAAACCACTGGGACGATGTGATTGTCAAGTTCAAGGAGATGGAATGCTCGCGCTGGTCTGCGGAGACGCTGCGCATTCTGCAAAAGATTCGGGACGCTGCTCTTCTGCCCCGAGGGCTCAACTACTTTCCGGCGGTGCATGTGATTGAGCTAGCTGAAGATGGCTACATCAAACCTCATGTGGACTCTGTCAAGTTTTCGGGGCGAGTGGTAGCAGGCTTAAGTCTATTGTCTCCTAGCATCATGAGGTTTACCGAAGAGCATGGCGAGTCGGTTATTGACGCGTACTTGCAACGTCGCTCTATGTACATGATCACGGGAAGAGTCCGCTACCACTACATGCACGAGATCTTACCCGGTACGCAGCTGTTTCGAGGAGATGTGTCGGTGAATCGCACTCGCCGCATCTCTATGATGTTCCGCGACGAATTCTTAGAGGAACACGTTGGCAAGTATCACACACCGTTTGCGAAACCCGACAGTGAGACGCAGTAATCAGTTAACAACTCGACAGCACTAGTCGTGCAGATAATGTTAGGCTCCGAATTGACGCAGCTGCATTCAAGAGTCGTTGCAGTATTCACGGCACTGCGATCCACCGCTTGTCCTTACGAGTAAGCAAACTCCACAAATCCTTCGCTGCACTATTCGTCTGCAATCTTCGCACAGCTAAATAACACTGGACAATGACAACCGCGCACAATGTGTTTATGCGCAACTACAATCCAGCAAAAAATGGCCACTAGCTCAAGAAGCAACGCGCACGTTGTCCTTTGATCGGGATCGTCCTCTCGATCGCGAGCGTGGCTTATCCGCAAAACGGTAGTCGGCACGATTGCTGTTAACAACACGCGTCTCCTTCTTGGCTGATTGTGCAATTGCGTCTGCCTTGCTAATGCTCTCGAGCGAAGACACAATCTCCGCGGCGCTTGGTCTCCTGGACGGGTTGTGTGACCAGCATCGAGCCATAAGCTCCGCCCACTTCATATTGCACTGACCGGGCTTCATAATTGGTCGGCAGCCCGACAGCACATACTCGCTAATCTCAGCATTCGAGTGCATGTCTGTGTATGGCAACTCGCCTGTTGTAAGCTCCCACATGATCAGTCCAAAGCTAAAAATGTCCACGGCCTGAGGACTGCTGCTGTCGCTCGGAAACGCGCCCTTCAACACACGTTCCTCGCCCAGCCTCAAGAGCTCCGGCGCTGTCCATCGCAATAACGCTGAACGTTCGTCAATACTGTCCATTCTACTCCTATCAAAGCCGACTGCTTCGGCCACTCGTCTCGTCCCAAAGTCTGCAAGTTTGGCGTTCCACGAGTCGTCCACAAGGATGTTAGTGCTCTTGAGCTGTCCATGCACAAGCGGTGGATCTGCACTATGCAGATAAAGCAGTCCTCTCGCTGCTCCCAGAGCGAGTCGTATCCGCAGACTCCACTTGAGATTCACCTTCTTGATCGCAGTGTCACCGACACTGCCAGAGCCACTAGCTGTTGAAGCTGTTCCCGAGCTTAGCTCAGAGCTTTTCCGCTTGTGCCTTCTGCTGGATGCCGACGCCTTGGGGGCGTGCAGCACATTAAAGAGCGAGCCCCGCGTACAGTACTCGCTGACGATACAAAAGTGGTCGTGCTGGAGACACGCGCCCATGAACAGCACGGTGTTAGGATGTCGCAGACTGCCCATTCGCGTCGCTTCCACTTCAAGCTCCATCTCGACGTTCTCTCGCGCCAGCGACTTGGGCGGCAGCGACACCATCTTCATCTTCTTGACAGCCACGACACTGCCGCGATACGAGCCTTTGTAGATCACGCTCGACGGACCTTCCCCAATCACATTCAGACACACGACTTCATCGGCCTGATACGAGATTCGACAAAACAGCAAAGAGAAAAAAAAAGCACAAGTAAAAAAGCACAAGTAAAAAAACGAACCGAGGTGATCACGAGATCAGAAAAAAAACACATTGTAGCACGTTCCAAGCCAGCAGCGAAAAAAAAAAGCAGTTTCTTGGACGCTTTGTCGTACCGCTAGAAGTGACGTCGTACCGAACGTCGACTGCTCCGTGGTCGGTTGCTGGACGTAGCTGTGGCGAGATTCGTCCAGCTCCGCCTCGAGCTCCGCTGCCATGTCGCTGTCGGGCAGACACTTGGACAGACAGAAGCCCATGCTCGTGCTTGTTTCGTGTATTGGGCGTCTGCAAGCCCGACTTGGACCGACTGCGGTTTCGGCTTGACGGGAGAGCGAGCGCTTCTGCGGGGTGCGAACGACGAGCGCGAGTGGCGTCGGTCGTTGCTCGCGTGATTGCGTGAGTGCCGCCCAGTCTACAACGTGACGGTGGGTGGGGGACGCGCCAAAGAGAGACCGGGGCAGAGTCTGACTCCCGTGCACGTCGCGTTGGATGTGCACGGAGAGAAGGAGCAGAGACGGGGCGACGAACTGACTCCTTGGGAGTGAGAAAGACGATGCGTCAACGACAGCAGGAACAAGATCTTGTTCGGGGGAGGGAGAGAGGAAAAGGTAGAGACGACGACGCGGTGGGCAGGTGAACATGGCGATCCAGGCAACGGGTGAGCTGGTCCTGCGGTTTCGTACCTACTTCCTTCCATCACGACCACGCCGAGCAACGTAGAGACGAACCAGCTTTACCGCACCTACATGCTGGACAAATGGCTCTTATTCTCATGAGTGTGGACACTATTCCTGAGACTCCCGTCGCACTACGCGAACGAAGGTCGGCATCAAAGCTGGACTCTCGTAGAATGTTGACGCCAAGATCGGACGACCGACACTTTGGCTGCTGCAATCGGAGGTTAGAGACGATCACAAGTGACGACATAGGTCGAAAGAAGCTGATCGGTAGGTAGTACTCCTGGCATTTACGCCCCTTTAGCTGCGATGCAAGTGTCGATCTTTGCCGTTTCGGGGCGCTGCGTCTCGCTCTGCCATCGTGACCAGAGGATCACCATCGGCAGGCACGGCCGGGACAGCGCGCCTCGCCTTTCCTTTTCACAAAGCCGCTTCGAGCTGCAAATAGCATTCGACGTCCCCGTACTTGGCGCTCGTAATGAGGGCGACAAACCATCTGACGTTCTGCAGAACAGCGGCTCGTGCTGCACTCAACGACGTGACAACTTCCGGTGCACGAACAGACGAGCCCCTTTAGCTCGCGTTTTTATTTTTTGCAGCGTCGTCTGTCGGACTTGTGAGAAAGGCGCGAGTGCTTGCTACGAGTCGAACTCGATCGGGATTCCGTCCTGTCTGCGTCCGCTCTGTGTGTGAAGCTGTCGGTCGCACGACACTTGAGACAAAGAAAGGCCGCACGCATCAGTCCGGAAGCACCTTCGATGTTCCCTCTGATAAGTTATAGGTTGGGTGGACGGAGTTGTAAATGACCTAGTGGAGGTTAAAAGTTATGTGATTGCTGCGCGGTAGTAGCAGGTCAAAAAGCAGGCCGTAGCACACAAAAGGAGTGTCTACATCCAATCAGCCAAGAACATCCACAACGAGACAGGAGACAGACTCTAGGTTGCTGCTCTTCACATTGCTGACTAGGCGCTCGCAGTCTACTGGAATGGTTTGGCTCAACTGAAGTTGTGAGATAAGTCGCCAACCTTATGCCATGTGGTTCGAAACATGTGCAAGCTTCAGGTATGCTGTGGATTGACACTGTCTCCTCAAGAATGACAATGCTGCATCGCGATCGTTGATGAACTGTGCAATCCGGTGTCAAGGTTCAGCTTCTTTCACCTACAATCAAGATTTCGTCTGTAGACGCCGGCATCATCTCGGCATTGATGTTGCGCTACCGCTGTTACCATCTGCAGAGTGTGATCGATCGATTGTGACGAGTGTGGTGGGATCGACCCCATTGTTAAGGCCGAGCACCTTACTGTCATACGCCGATCAGTAGATGACTGGACCGGGGTCCCGGTCACCGTCGTTATCAATCGCCTTGAATACACGGGCTGTTCGTCTAGCTTCCTTCCACATCAATCGCTACGGAGATGAGGAAAGGGAGTGCTTGTAGCTGATCGAGGTGGAGCAGATAAGAGGAAGCGGAAATTAGAGCTAGGCTCGTATAGCTTCTCTTTGGATTACATGTCGAGTTTGGGTCTTCTAGATCACATCGAAGAGGCCAAAGGTGCTCAGCAGAGCTTATCGAAAGTGACATTCTGAAGGAGGATCAAGGCAAAGAAGGAGGACGAGAAAAGCGTCCACCAGCTAAGAATGCGGTATCCGTCGCTATGATGTTTAGTCGGACTGAAAAGGTACCTTCGAATGTGAAATCTACTTGCTTCTGCTCGATGTACATTGAAAGTCAAAGGGCCACATTTAGAGTGCTTCGTAATCTTTGTGACTTGATAGTCGAAGGATGTCCATCCAATTCCCTCAGCTCGAATTATCACTTGATAGAAAACAAGTTATCAGAGGGAACACTATATTGCGCTTCAGAAACTGCATGGTACGCGGCTCGTCTGCTGCGATGCATAGTGATGCAGGGACATCTGACGCCGACTTCAGCAGACCTGCTCCATCCAAATCGGGAATGAGCTCGTGCTTGGTGTCCAAGCACGGCGTGCCATCTTCTCGCTGATCCTTGCTATTTTACTTACATGAGTCTATGTGATAATTTACCACAGGAACCAGCATTGCAGGATCTTAAGCGTCATGGGTTGCGATCAATCTCTTCTCCCTACGATGACGGACAATGACGCATTGTACAACGTCCATGACGCTGGAAGGTTTCAAACAAGTCATTGACCGCTGCGCGAGGCCGAAATAGCACGACTCGCTAGCCAGTCGACTGCAGCGGAAGTATCTTCTTGTTCTTGACGACGCCACCCAGCAGCAACTGTGGCATGGACAAGACATAGACGAGCACGCAGCATTAGCTATGCAGGTGGGCGATTGCCTCACTTTTTGTGACGCCGTAGCTTCAAGCTGATGCGTTGAGTCTCTTGTAACAATGGCGAGGACCTATAGCTGGTGTAGAGTGCGTGCTGGTGAACCTGTCGCGATCATGGTTGCTGGAACGTTCTCGAGCGGGAATCCAGCAAGGCGTAATCATCATCACCACGTGTTCTTCAGTTTCCATCATTTACATTCGTAGCTGTCAAAGCAGCAGTCGAGTTGTGTTTTTCAGCTTAGTTGCGCCTGCAAGCAACACTGTGCAGTCCCTTTTTGCGTCCTTGGATCGCAAAAGAGTGCAGCAATTAGGTTTGTCGCCTGGCTACCGAACCTCGACAGGAGGTCCTCCGCCACAAAGTTGAATGTGCTGGTAAACCCGGATGGATCACCTTGATAATGCTTTGATGCTGACAGCGGAAACGCGATCTTTGCTTCGGGCGAGGAAGATGAGATCGAGTAAAAACGCAGCAGAGCGATTGTGGCGTGGTATTCCTCTTACTATTGAGCATTTGACATACGACTGATGCCAAAAGAAAACACTGCGACGACAGGAGTCACTCGCTGTATTCGATCAGCTGACACAGTGCAGTCGTTACGCGTATCGAACATTCATCAAGCTCTAGTCCTCCTAGTCTTTCTCCTTAGGAACAACCCACTACAAGTCTCAGTTAATCGTTTCATTCACGAAATCTGAACCACAGAGTCAGCCGCTTTAGTGCCAGCCAACTCTCTCTCTCTCTCTCTCGGCTTACCGACCTTCAGGAACCACAGGTTGCTGCAAACAACAGTTCTGATGTTGTCGTCGTCGTTGTGATTTGCCCTCACCAGAGCGCTCAAGCGAGATCGCACGAAGCAATTCTTCGGACTCGAATGGCTTGCACTCCAATACACTCTCAACCAGCGCTCGTTGCAGAAGCTGGTACGAAGAATGCGTCTCGCAACCACCAGAGCACGAACACGTACCGCCGTACTCCACGGGCAAGTTCTCAGCGTCAATGAACTCCAACAACGTTGCAGCAGTCTCGCTCTCTGTCAAAATGTTCGTCTTGGCGCGAGTCGCTTCGTTCAACAAAGGCTTCACACCTTTCCACGCCATTCCAAACCATGATGGCACATTCACGATGAAGATCTTGAACGACCGCTGCGGATAATGACACTGCATCGCACTTGTGCACCGACGGATGAACTCGAACGCCTCACCGCCCATATCGCGCATGCCGATACCACGCGCGTCCAGCACAATACACATTTTCTGTGTCTCACTGGGGGCACATGCGTCACACGGACAAATCTCGTGCGCCGCATACTTGAGCATGAACTCCATGGCGAATAAATAGTGCTTGAACAACGCGTCCGGCGTGACGCCGACTCTTTTTAGCTGAGGCATGTTGATAGAGCCGATCTTCTCAAAGTAAAGTGGGTGCCCGAGCTTGTCGTGCTTGTGGAGAAACTGTGTGTAGTTCCTGCAGAAAAAGAGATCGACCACACCACAACGTCAACGACAGGGGCGATCGAAACGGAACCGGGAGTTCACTCGCGTACAGCTTAATGACGTCGTAGTGGGTCTGAGGCATGGTCAGAATCGAGTCCAGTCGCATGTGCTTCCGCCACGCCAATGTCGCGTCATACCGCTCCAACGCCTTGACCACATCGCCATTCTCGGCTACCAGATACGCTGAGGGAGTGGCAACCAGCGCCAACTTGCTCGTGACTTGAGCTTTATCTGTTCGAGGTGAATACGAGGCTTTCTGAGCGACACCAGAAGCAGCAAAGGAATTGTCAAAGGTGTTCGGAGTCCACTTGCCAACAATAAGGGGAAAAAACCACGAACCTCGGGTCCTTTGCAGCAGAACATCATCTTGTGTGCAAGAGGCGACGCTCCGTCGATCTGAAACGAGCTGAGCAGAGCTGATTCAATAGTGGGAAACGGACGTCTTTCGTATTCCACACGTCTACGAAAATCTATCCACAGTTTTACATTGTTGTCGTCCTAACGTCACTTCGCCGAATTGAGCGGTGTCGGCTGGTTGTCGGCGTCTGGACTGGCTTCCTGCTTCGCCCTTGGCACAACGACGGGAGACCACTCCGGACTCCTTGTCGCGACTGACGTCTTATTCTTCAGCTGGTCGATTGCCCCTGAAATCGCCTGTACCCAGCTGTTCAGCACGTCAGATGTTGGCGTGCAGAGCAGGAGCGAGTGCCCGTTAACGGCCATCCGTGGCGTGATGACTTCAAAGCTCTTGTTCTGTTTCGTCGTCTTCTGGACGATCGTATCGTGGGATAATGAAACAATCTGGTAGATCTCCGAATCCAAAGCCTTAGCAAAGCGGAGATACTGGGGATGCAGCACGAAGAGCTGGCGGTGCCAAATCGGGTTGAACTGCTTGTGCCGCAGTGAACGCTTCATCAAGTAGCCTGCCTTCAATACTTCCTCCCTGAAGTAATTCGCTGGAATGGAGCGACGAAAGCCTTCGTCGTCGACGCCGTCAAGCATACAGCTGCTCTCTGCGCCGCTGCTTCCGCATCGAGAAAGTGGGTCCACTACAGTTGTCGTTGGCGCACTGCGCTTAACCGCCGGTCCCGATGCGGGCGGCGGAGATAGTAGCAAAACTGTATCGTCGGCCGATGTATAACCTTCTTCGCTTGACCTGCTTTCACCGGAGCGCTCAAGCGAGATCGCACGAAGCAATTCTTCGGACTCGAATGGCTTGCACTCCAATACACTCTCAACCAGCGCTCGTTGCAAAAGCTGGTACGAAGAATGCGTCTCGCAACCACCAGAGCACGAACACGTACCGCCGTACTCCACGGGCAAGTTCTCAGCGTCAATGAACTCCAACAACGCTGCAGCAGTCTCGCTCTCCGTCAATATGTTCGTCTTGGCGCGAGTCGCTTCGTTCAACAAAGGCTTCACACCCTTCCACGCCATTCCAAACCATGATGGCACATTCACGATGAAGATCTTGAACGACCGCTGCGGATAATGACACTGCATCGCACTTGTGCACCGACGGATGAACTCGAACGCCTCACCGCCCATATCGCGCATGCCGATACCACGCGCGTCCAGCACAATACACATTTTCTGTGTCTCACTGGGGGCACATGCGTCACACGGACAAATCTCGTGCGCCGCATACTTGAGCATGAACTCCATGGCGAATAAATAGTGCTTGAACAACGCGTCCGGCGTGACGCCGACTCTTTTTAGCTGAGGCATGTTGATAGAGCCGATCTTCTCAAAGTAAAGTGGGTGCCCGAGCTTGTCGTGCTTGTGGAGAAACTGTGTGTAGTTCCTGGAAACACACATGTACGTCAGTTGTGATCATATGCATACCTTGTCATAAAAACATGCCCACGTACGCTTTAATTGCATCGTAGTGCGTTTGCGGCATGGTCAGAATAGAATCTGCCATCACTTCTTTTCTCCATGCCAGTGTGTTCTCGTAGCGCTTCAGAGCCTTGGCAGTATCTCCATTCTCCGCCAGCAAAAAAGCTGCAGGCACTGATTTCACCAGTTGCGATAACTGCGTCATGCTGGCAGTATTTTCAAACCGTTCAGATTCGGACGCCTCCAGTGCTACCACTGTAAAGTCCCAGCTGCCAAGAAAGCTACGTGATTGATGACCTTCCTCGGTATCTGCCAGAGTAGACTGTCGAGCCGTTGCCATCTTCACCAGATATACGACTTCTACTAACAAGATGGTCGCTCCAGCAAGGCCGCACATGTATGCAGCAGGAACAACCATCGCCGAGTCAAAGATATGCGTCAACACCGAAGCTGCAGCCGAGTATGCGATGACAATACCACATGAAAGCTTGAACATCTGTCGATACGTGCCGCGCAAAGTGCCACACAAGTCGATCTTCTTTCGCTGTACAGCCCGCGTAGCACGGACAAGGATACGCATGAGACGCTTACCACCAAGCACAAGGCGGTAAAATGCAGAGCCCTCGTGCTTTAGGAATTGCTGGCACGACATGCCAACTCGACCACCATCTGAAAAGAGCAGTTCAAGCGACATTGAGCGCCGTAGATCCTGCAGTAAAACAGGAGTGCCTACCTCTATGGCAGTTCTTGTCGATACCAGCACCCGAGAGCTTGCTCGGTCGTGATCAGCCTCATCCGGCGCACGACGCCCAACAGCACTCGTTTGCACGTCTCTTAAATCAACCGATTTGATTGCTGGCAACTCGTGACCGTGCATCTCGAACAAAACGGTTTTCCCGCGACCGTCACATCGCAAGAAACCACCTCGGACAGGTGCCGACTCCTGCTGCTTGCCAAAGTGTGTGATCACTCGATTAAACTTGGACCGCATGCGATTCGAATTGACGACGTCAATCACCAGGTTTCGATCGCCATAGTACACGACTTTCCCCACGGTTTCCAACGCTGCTGTTGCCAAGTGCGTCTCCACTTGCGACAACTTACCAAACGTGGTCTCGGCCATCGTCTTGGTCGTCTTTGCCAAGTTGCTAAAGAAGACGAAACTGTCTTCATCATCCGATGAGCTCGAGCTACCGTCGCCTTCATCTGCATCGGCAGCTTGGAGCTGATAGAAAGACAAGTGCATCTCACCTGGCGTATTAGCCTCCTTCGGTCCAAAACAACCATTCTTGAGACTCGGGCCGACCCCCAGTTTGTTGTTCCACACGAGTCCGTCTTGATCCACGAGCAGCACGACGTCCCCGTAGCTCACGGGCGTTCCTGCACCCAGTCCACTGTACGACAAGACGACGAACGTCGACGATCGGAAGTGCTTGGCGCCGCAAGGAGCAATGGGAGGAAGACACACGCGCTCGTCCTGTTTCTGCACACTCTTGGACGTCAGAGACCGCTTGTTGCCTGCAAACGTGCCCACGTACCCTCCCTCGGCCTCGGTAGTCACGTACTTACTGCGTGCAAATAGCCGGATCGTGTCGCCGTAGCGCACAGCCACCCGGGGCGGCGAGTGCTTGGAGACCGTATCCAGCGGTGGCGCTGTGTCGGTACTAACACTCGACTGATTTGTATTGAACGCGTGAGTATCTGGCGCGGACACGGACGTGGGTCGTGTATTTATGACGTTGTTGCTCGCACTGTCGTCGTTCGTACTGGAACTGCGGGGGAAGCTAGAGCCGCTCTTGCTGCTTTCGGTGTCCGGCTTGACGCTGTGGCGGCGAGAGCGCAGCGAGGCGCTCGAGAAGAGCGCGCTGCTGCTGGGCGGCGCCACGACGCCCTTGACGGTGGCCATGAGTGGCATCAGAGTGATGGTCGTCTGTCTGCCTCCGCGCAAATTTCTTGGTCGGGTGTCCCTGGTTCAGTCAGTCAGTCAGTCAGTCAGTCGGTCGGTCGGTCTCAGTGTTCAGCACCGGGACATGTCCGCATTTTAGCATGTGTGAAAGAAAGGCCGAGGCGTCATTGCGAGGTGTGCGGTAAGACCTGATTCGCAGCTGAATCAAACGGCAGCTTTTTGATCTGTGTTAATTGGTAAAATCGAGACTACATGCAGCACAAAGTTATTTGTTGGGTATTATATACGTCGTGTGAAATTAGATAAAACGTAAAGCAAAGACGCATTCTTTCACAAAAGACCCATTTCCAGACTTCAAAGTACGCAGCGACGGTGCGATACTGCTCGTATTCGTTTTGTTTGAGCACAAATATTGTCGTTATGCTTGGAAAATGATGACACGGTATACTCGACGGTTTCGTCCGAATATATTGCTCACAGCAGTACCGGAAACGAGCGTGCAAATTCGAGCGCCTACACCACCAATTGATGCTGGATGAGATCCTGTAGCGACGTCAATTAGGGCATATTGCGACACGCTACAATCAATAGAATGAACGACTGAGTTAAAATTCTTGACTATTATCAGCGTTTATGCATTCGGGAGAACGATAGACCCCAGTCGACAAAATCTTTGCGTGCCATCGAGCCAGCGTTGTGGTCAATTGTCCCCGTACCACTTTTAATCAACCATGCTCACAAGCGCTTCATCGAAGCTGGACCACTCACGTGTCTCGACATCGATCCAAACGAACCCATCGATGCAGGTACCGCGGTAGCGGATCACAATGAAACAAATGTCGACTTTTACATGTCTCATGCGGCAAAATGGTGGCACGCTGACAAGCGCAGCCGTCTTCAGGACACAAAAAGGTCACACAAAAGGTAGACATTGCTGGCTTTTTGCAGCGATTGAGAACGACTTGCTGCCAACATTGTCTTGCTCTTCGCGGGCTCGGAGTGCTGGCTGGTACAATGCAATGTTGCATCTGATGGCATCAAGAAACCGTACCGGGCTTTCACCTTCCTGCTCAATCAACTTTACAGCACTAAGCAAGATAGGTGACGAGGTGCTGGGATCTGATGACTTGCGCAGAAAACTGTGCGGTTTTAGTACTACCACCTCTACCGACTGATACGATGATTGGAGTAGAAGAAAAGCAGCGAATACTCGCCTATCTAGTTTGTAATGCGCAACTACTGATACGGCTACTTTCTCCCTCATGCACTCGATCGCTATAACAGTCCACGTACCCATTAATTGATGCGCTAAAATACGTCATGCGGGTGCTGTCGGTCGGTGTGAAAACTACCTCGCGTTGGTGCAGTGGATGCGACACGATGTCAAATGTCGCTATCCTTGCTTGCATATCGTAAACCACGTTGCGTCCCTATTGTCGAACACAAAAACAAAATTCACAGTACCGTGTTCAAGGTGCAGCCACTGGCCAAGGACGCAGTCGGTCCAGAGTTGCTACCCGATGCACACGTCAAGCTACAAGTAGTTTTCCCACGAAAAAAGAAACGGTGCATGTTCAATCGAACGAGTTAGCGCTATCAAAGCAATGACAATCGAAACGCGCAAATGAAGTTGGATGACTGCGAACAGGCGACTGGAGCGAAAGTCACTCGTTCGGTCAGCCAGAAAGTCCACTGTGATTTCCAATCTTCTACTTCCGAGGCGGTGTAGCCGGACGCTGCGTTCCCAGGCCATTGTACGCGTAACGTTGCTTCTTCTCCGCGGGCTTGAGAATCTGGAACGAGCACATGAGCGTCTCATCCACTGACATCATCGCACCGGCGTTATCGAATTCGCCACAGTAGTTCGGGGCTGAAAATAGCGTAACTAGCTGGCGCTTGGCAAAGAATTCATAGCCGTCCTCCACCACCTGGTGGGCTCGACAAATCAAATCGAGGTCGTGGCGCTTTAAAAACTGGCTCACGATGTCCGGGCCGAACGTAAACGACACACCACGGTCGTTCTCTCCCCATCCCATGATGTCCTTATCAGGGTCCGACCACAACAGGTCGCAGAGTAGACCCGTGTCGGGCACGTCCGTAGGGCGCACAAAACGCTTAATCTGCTCCATCTGGCTAAGCTCGGGCGACAAACCCCCGTGCATACAAAAGATCTTCTCGTCAACAATTGCAGCTACAGGTAAGCAGTTGAAGCAATCCGTAAAGGTCTTCCAGAGCTTGATGTTGTAGCGGCGCTTGCACTCGTCGTAAAAGCCATAGATCCGGTTAATCGACGCGCACTCGTGGTTGCCCCGTAGAATGAAAAAGTTCTCCGGATACTTGATCTTGTATGCGAGCAGCAAACAGATGGTCTCGAGGCTCTGTTTGCCACGGTCCACGTAGTCACTGTGCATATCCAGCAACAACGATCGTATACAATCATACATAAAGATATATATATCAGTTTCCACTACCCTTCCTTCTCCCCCTTCAGTGCAGCAACCAATCAGCACAAATCCTTCCACTACATACCCGAGAAACAAGTAGTTGGCGTCAGGGGGGAAGCCGCCGTACTCGAACAGACGCAGCAGATCGTAGTACTGGCCGTGGATGTCACCTGTACAGAGTGAACAAACAACCGTCAAAAGTGAATGCAGTACTCTAACCTCCCCTCCCCCTCTATATCAATAGAGAATAGAGTGAGGCCACTGAAACGTACCGCAAATCTTAATAGGCGCCTCCAGCTCCACCAGAATGGGCTGGGCCAAGAACACCTCGCGCGCCTGCAGACAAAGGCCACGGATCTCCGTCTCCGTGAGGTTCACCTGCTTGCCGGGGCGCGCACCACGCACGCTCAGCAGCTTCTCAATGATGCTGTCAACGTCGACGGGGTCCATTCCAGACGACGCCATCGATTCTGCTGCTTCCGCTCCTTCTCTGCCTTTCCTTCCTTTTATTCTCCGAGTGGCCAGTCCCCCGTGATCCGTCCCTGACTGTTTCGCGATCGAGTACGGTCATTGGACAAAAGTCCAGATTGACTGAAGTGATTCGTGGAAAAAAAACACAAGCTGTTTCAACCTACGAATCCAGAAGAAAGACATGCTCTTTTGACCAATGGAAGCAAGAGGAGAAACACTTGTTTGAAAAGAAGCTGGCGTCATGGCGTCGTGTTCCAATCGTTTTGGGGCAAAAAGGTGCCCGACGTCGCTCCAGGTTTGCCAATTATCTGTAAAGCGCGGACATTTCGTGTAGCTATGAGCGATTTCATCAAGCTTTGTAATCAAATATTGCAGCCATTTACATTGCTATTTGTCGTTGCTGCGACGTGTGCGTTGGCGTCTTGCTGTGATTTGAGTCCTGGTGGCAGAAAGGTTGAGCTTACGTTGGCAATCTGGTTCGCGTTTCTTATGTTGATGCTGCTGGTTCGAGGGGAGCAAGACGATCAGTTGACATTGGCAATGCTTCTGAGTCCGAAGTTTCTGACCTTCACGCAGACGCTGTCGAAGCACATGTGTGTCAAGCTCAGTGTGGCCCAAGGTTTTTCTTCACAGAACGAGTGACAGTTGATAATGAAGGACCAATGTACTACCCAAAGCTGCGTTCACCAAAAGACTTGTCAAACATTGCGCGTAGCAGGCGCCCTCGTCGCTGAAAATGGCGGGTCACATTTCGGATACAGCCGCCAGATTTTACAATGGCACGAAAACCGTCGCCCCAGCACCATCTGTTTGATGGACCTGTGTCATAGAATAGTACACGATTCTCCGTCCAAGGCACAAAGAGTGTCAATTCGTGACCTCTGAAATTACATATCTTTAGACCTTTCATTCTATGCAATCGGGACGTGTGTATCCTAGTTCGGGAAAGGCGAAGGAAAAAGAGGGGGAACTGCGGCTGCCCTGGGGACGGCTCGACGGACCTGCTTGGCGCACTTTTTGGGAACTAGCATGGTGTACGTCCTCCCACTGTCTCTTTCTCGACCAGATCAAGTCCCACCACTTGCTGGTCGATCGCACTAAATCTCTTTTGTCCCATGATGTCGAACCGCAGCGACGACAAGAAGCGGAAACCCTCACGGGACTTCCCAGCCCATGCGCAGGTACCCATGGGCAAGGTACATCCAACCGGGATCTCTTCCAGGTACGTCATTTGTGTTTTCTGTAGCCCAATGGGGATCTAACAATCGAAAAACATCCTGACAGTATCCGGTTGGTTCCACTTATGACCTTTTGTTTGTAGCAGAAGCCGCGTGGAGCTTGATACAAGGACTCCAGCAGTACCTCCAATGCGCGACCCGTTCCGCATCCTCAATGATGACGAGAACGAGGCGTTCGTGTCGATGAGCAAACGCTCGATGCGGGCGGATTCGACCGTGTCCGTGACCTCGAGATCGTCGATGCTGTCGCTGGACGACTCGTTCCAGTTTTCCGGTGGGGATGAGGATGAAGACGATGCGTCAAAACTACCCAAGAACCAGCGACCAGCACAGCCAGCCGATGAACGAGAATATTTTGAACGGATGTGGGCCGAAAACTTCAAGAACTCGGAGGCGCAGGTTAGCGGCACGACAGGATACTTACCGGTGGGTGCAGCTGGTCGCTTGAACCGCATCAAAAGCTTCTCGTTGGCGCGGGATCCCGTATCGCACAAGTTGTACGCAGTATTTCGACTCGAGATCGAGTGCATCGTGAGTGAAAAGCAGTGGACGATTTACCGTCGATTTCATGACTTTAGACAGCTCGCGCACCAGTTGAAAAACGAATCGGTACGTGTGTCAGCAGTTCCTACAAAGACGTTGATGCGCTCGTTGGACCCGAACTTTTTGCGTAAGCGCCAATTGGAGTTAGACAGGTGGCTGCGAGAAGTGCTGATGCTCATTAGTCTCGAGAACTGCAAAATTGACACAGACCGCTGCACCGAGTGCTGCGGAAACCGCGGCTTCCACGCAAGTGTTCGCCTTATCCGCCACTTTCTTACACACAAAGCGAACGAGCCGCCAACTTTTGAGGATGCATCATCGTCGTCCTGTTCGCATGTGGTGTCGAGTTCGTCCAGTGGATTCTCGTCTTCGAGTTCGAGGCGACCTCCGCTGTTGAGTTCGTCAGAGCGAAACACTGGCTCTGAACCAACGTTTATCGAGACCAGGGAAGGTAGTAGTAGCAGTGTACGCGGACGAAAAACTCGCGTTGGGTCCGCTGGTCAAGTTGGTGCAAATTCGCGTGGTGGCAGAGTTCGTGTAGGCTCCGCTGATATGGCTAGATGTCGTGATGATGAAATGCATATTGCCTTGGCTGATGACGGTGGGTTGCAGGCACGCAGTGAGAGACCTCGCGGGAAATCGTCACCAATAGACCCGATGGGCAACTATCAAAAAGCACCGCTGAACGCCCTCACATCACCTGAAGAGCGGCGGAGCGTGGTCCTTCAGGATGTTGACGACGATAATGAAGAGCTTGAACTGGAAAATAGCTTCAGGCGGCGAAGTAATAAGGTGTCGCTGAAGGAGTTTGACGTGCTGAGAATGATTGGAAAGGGATCATTTGGTAAGGTGCTGCTAGTCCGGAAGAAGCACACGTCAGAGTTGTTTGCTGTGAAGATATTGAGGAAGCAGGCGATCGTGAAGAAGCAGCAAGTGGAACATACAAGGACTGAGCGTCGCGTTCTAGCTTCAATATCGCACCCGTTTGTTGTATGTTTGCACTATGCCTTCCAAACGAAAGACAAGTTGTATTTCGTGCTCGATTACTGTCCAGGCGGGGACTTGTTCTTCCACCTAAGTCGATGCGGATGCTTCCCTGAGGCTATGGCGAAGTTTTACGCTGCCGAAATCGTTCTGGCGCTGATTCATTTGCACGAGCAGGGGATCGTGTATCGAGACCTCAAACCGGAAAACATTATGCTGGATGTGGATGGTCATGTGAAACTTGCTGATTTCGGGCTCGCCAAAGAAGGGATCAATAACGAACTCAGTGGGACGTACACCATGTGCGGTACACCCGAGTACTTGCCGCCCGAGATTCTCAATCGTGTTGGCCATGGTACAGCTGTGGACTGGTGGAATTTGGGTATGGTGCTTTACGAGATGCTGACTGGGCGGCCACCGTGGTATACACAAGACCGACAGGAGCTGTTTCACCGCCTTCGTGGTGCGGAGCTCCAGTTTCCACAGGGATTAACTACGGAGGCTATGAATCTGATCGAAGGTCTGCTCACTCGTGATCCAGCGAAGCGTCTCGGTGCTATTGATGTCCGTGAGATCACCTACCACCCTTTCTTTGCAGACATTGACTGGAGTTTGCTGTACAACCGCCAGGTGCAGCCGCTGTATTGCCCGTGCCAGTACACGGACCCGATCGATGCGGCCAACTTTGAGGAGGAATTTACAAAGCTACCGCTTGCACAAATTGACAGTGCAGGTCTTAGTGTACCAACCGATAATGGGCACGAAAAGAACGGTGATGGCAGAGATTCGTTTACGGACCTGGCAAACTACGCGACTACTGCTGCCGCACCAGCAGAAACTAGAGCAAGTATGTGTAACGGCGCCGCTTATAGTACTGGCATGAGCACTGAGCGCAACAGCACGCTACGCAACCTCTCGTACACGTTTGCTGGCTTCACGTACGACGGTACCAACTCTTCCCTCGAGCAGCCAAACAATATCACACCTGACGGTGTACAGTGAGTAGCTTTATGCTATGTTCCTGATAAATGTAATCCGACAAGCGATGGTCGTCGTGACAGACAAGAAGATCGACTCGAGCTTTTCAGGCAAGAAAACTAATAGAAAACCAAACGTCTCTCGTTGCAACGAGTCCGCTACTTTGGTGCAGAGGTTTGAGTATACAAGTGCCGTTCACGTACAAGACGTCTCAACGTTCATGAGGTGCATATGGTAGGCAGATCCATGATAACTCGATCAGCACTTCAACGCTGCAAACTTGGCGCACTCTACCGTGTTTCGCAACAGCATGGCAACCGTCATGGGTCCAATACCACCTGGCACAGGTGTGATGGCTGCGACGCGCTCTTTTGCTGCAGCAAAGTCAACATCGCCTACAATCTTGTACCCTTTCTTGCAAGAATCATCGTCGACGTAGCTGATACCGATGTCCACGACCACCGCTCCCTCAGCGAGCCAGTCACCTTTGACAAGTTCAGGTTGACCAGTACCCACGAACACAACCTCTGCTTGTTGGACCTTATCCTTCAAGTTCTTGGTCTTTGAGTGGCAAGTCGTCACGGTGGCGTTTGCAGACAGTAGCATGAGCGACAGCGGCAGGCCAACAAGTTGGCCACGGCCGATGACAACCACATCTTTGCCCTCCAGTTCAATTCCGTTACGGGCAAGGAGCTCCAAACAGCCCGCAGGTGTACAGGGCTGCAAGGACAACGTCCTTTTTGCTGCTCCATCCTCAGTTTTCCTTGGCTCTGCCAATCGACCAAAATGGTACGAGTGGAGTCCATCCACGTCTTTCACCGGACTGATGGTCTCCAAGAGCTCCGTCTCATGACGTTTCAGGTGCTGGGGTAGAGGCAGTTGCAGTAGAATGCCATGGACGTTGGCGTCCGCATTAAGCCCGTCAATGAGAGCGTGCACTTCCTCAACCGTAATGGACTCGGACATTTCGTGCACTTGGGCCGTGATCCCAATTCGGGTGCACGCGTTTTTCTTGAGCCGCACATATGTCTTAGAGTCCGAATGGTTACCAACGAGCAAGAGTGCGAGCGTCGGCGTCACTGTGAGACTTGGGATCAACTTCTTCAGCTCCGTTTCAATCTCTTTACTGCACGCTTTGCCATCTAAAAGCTTTGCCATAATGAATGGCGGTGAGGGCACTGGGAGCTTTTGATCACGTGCAATTTTCGTACCATGGAAGGAACTCGCAGGGTAAAAAGAATAAAACCGGACACTGCACTACTTCATTCGATAAGATAGGGGAGCAAGTTCTGGAGCTCTGAGTGATTCAATTCGGAGAACTGAAATAACAGCAGCAGTCACTGAAGAAGCAGTATGATGCTGTTGATGTATGCATTAATACAGTATAGTAGGCAATAGCAACGCGATCGGCCTTTGCTTGTGAGCGTCCAGCATTCGCTTGTGTGACCACATTCACCTTTCTTTGATTTCAAGCCAATCAGGTGCGTGCATCACCATACTGACCTAGAGTGACACCAATTACGCGAATCGACCAATGAGGGGGAAACAGGCTAGATCGTATTTTCTACGAGTCAGGTACACGTAACCTCGTGATTTACGGACACACAGACAGACGCACATGCACACGGACAGGTAAGTACGATTTAAAAGCTCGGTGTTCAACCTTGCGCACACTCACAAATAGCTTCACCTTTCGGGCTCGCAACTACGCGCTGACAAATAATACGTACACGATGGCAGATAGATACACTTCTGCCTAAATTGCACCTTACGTGCATAAATTCACTGTCTTCTGTCTCCACTGCATCGTGGAGCAGGACCGAGTCGGACACTTCGATCGTGTCCGATTGTGAGTTACAACCACTGTTGCGGGCGAAGTCCGAAAGCTAACCCATGGCCCCCGTCGCGCTTGAAGAACTGGATAGGCTCGACCTTGCTGTCTTCGGCGTCACGATGGACGTACATCGCCAGACAGCCCGGGTGGTCCTCACGTCGAGACGCCAAAAAGCCCACTGTCTTCTTGTTGTCGTACACACTTCGGAGGTAGAACTTGGACGTCGACGTCACGGGTGTGCGGTCAGGCACTCCAACGATAATGAACTTGGCTCGCTCGTCGATCTTGTTGCTGAATGTGAGCTTCTTGGACATCTTTTGCATCCGCAGCACTGTTCCATTGGTGCGTGCGAACGAGACGCAGTCTCCACCGCAAAGCAAGTCACCCGTCGTATGTCCAATAATGCGCAGCGTGTCACTGTCTTCCAAAGTATCGAACGGCTGGACGGCGTTGCAACGAACACGACGCGAGAAGGGGTTCTTGTGACCTTTACGTCGAACAGCGTGGCCTTGAACTTGAGTGATCCGACCCTTTGTTGTTTTGAAAGCCAGGTGCAGCTCCTGTCCGTGATACAGGGGCACCGAAGGAACCTCGTTGTCGCGAGGGTGGATACCGAAACCTGCAGCACCTTCACCTGCGTCAGGCACAGTAGCCTTCCGGGGGCGACCGATTTGGGCTTCTACCATACGTGGCGGAGAGCTAAGTCCACGGATATTGCGCGCTGAGCCGCCCACCACACGCTTCTGACCAGTTGGTGTCCGGAAGCGTGTCCTCACACGGTTCATGTTACGAAGCGAAGCTCTCGAGTTCGCTACGGCTTGCTCACGTGTACACAGAATACTGCCAATGTCCACAGAGTGGTCCGTCACGTCGTCGCCGTAGTCGTCTGTGGAAGCGCTGCTTGCATTGTCGTCCTCCATTTCACTTTCACTCAGTTCTCCGCCGTCATTGTCGCCCAGCACACGTGGTGACGGACTTCTTTGGTGGAACTGGTTGAGAAGCAGCGTTTCGTATTGGTGCGACAAGATCGAAGACGTCTCGTGCTCCGAAGCAGACAGCACCTCCAGCGTCATTCCAGTTGGGATCGGAGGCGTTTTGGCCATTAGACTCGCTGCATCCTCCAATGTGGGGCGAACGATATCGTCGTTGCCATCCGTGTCGAGCTCTAGAAACGAACTGATCAAGTCCATCATCGGCGGTGGAGTTGGCAGCAAGAGCTGAGAGCCCATCACATCCCGAGTCGACGAGGCACTGGTTGTCGACGAAACCGCAGTCTTGTTGACCTCAGGGTCGGTCAAGTGTTCCCTGAATCGAATCGTCAAGCGCGACAGCGGATTCAGGACATTCGACAGCCGCGCGGACGATGACAAGGACGACGTCGTGTGTGCCCGGCGTCGTGACGACACGAGCGACTCATCTTCACTCAGCACAGCAATGTCGACTGCGTCGTCGTCCGGAACCTCGTCCAAACAACCGCTGCCGACAGCAGGAACGTATGGGTTATAGGACGGCCTCGGCACAGCCACTGGTGTTTGATCCGAAGTGCAGCGCCGAAGCAGGCACTGACCTTCTTGACCGACCGTTTGTCGTCGCACCCGATAGGGTGACGCCTTGGTGTCGGCCTTGTGGACCGTCACTTTGCAGTACTTTATGTCCAGGCCCATGGTAGCAAATAGAGTTGGTCTATGATGCTTCCACGCAGGTTGCCAAGTCCGGTTTCGTTGCAGTAAAAGGTCAATAGAGACCTGATGGGGTTGGCAGCAAGTTGGGAAATAGCTCCAGCCGCGGAACATCCTTCGACGGTCGGCGCTGTTGGAACCATTAGATACATTTCGTGCAGAGGCGAGTGCCTGGTCAACTAAATGGTGTCGTCGTGACGCACGCGACCTGCTGCCGTCTTGACACTTGAACGGTTCACTTGGGTTCACTATTGTCCCTGGCTTCAAGTGGCGTGTAGTAGTGGAGCTGCGCACCTCCATCTGTACCCTCGCCATGCGGTTTCCGCTGCTTTTACCGTATGCAACATACACCATAGTACTGGCCGCGAGGGTGCTTACCAGCAATACCGTCGCCCGCCGCCGCAGCTGTTGCGGTATCGGCATGGCGTCGCGTGGAAGGTTACATACACTATAGAGCAATGACCGCGGCCGGGGCAGCTGATCCACATATTTAACTCCACGTATGGCTACCAAGTCAATTTTTCAATGTGGTGGACGCCGAGATCCGATCGGGGTATGCCCACTGTATCTATTGGAGGCTGGCAACACTTGCGTGCGAGACCAAACCAAAGTGACAAGTTCGGAACGTACTTGCTCCTGTTGCGTGCTGTATGTGTATGTCTGTGTGTGTCTGTATTTGTATCCTTGCAAGTGCTCGAGAGCTCCCGAACTGAGTGTATCGCTCACCTCCTACAGAGTATGAATGAGTACACTTTGCCATCAGCATTATCTTAAAGAGGCGGAATTAAAGGAACGGAGACCAGCCGAGCGAAAGCGTCACAGGAATAGGTTTTGTCAAGTTCGTAATAAGTCAAGCCACTGATCGACCCGACCAGAAGTTGTGCGTCAGTCAGTGTCCGTCAACAGCTTTTTTCCACAAATCTTCGAAGAAGACGTTTGTTTGTCGCGAGCTCGGCGACCGAGCCATCGATCATCGCCGAAGCTTGGGTGATAAAATCTAGGTTTACTCAGCTGGAAGAGTTGTGTTTTGTGAGAACCCAAAATCATTATTCAAGAGCTACAGGAAACCGTTCGTTTGCCTCCAGCTATCATTAGCAGGTCCCATCCACAATAGTCAAGGAAGAAAAGATTGTCCGCACGCAGCTTCTACCTGTCCGTACACCCTCGAATAAAATTTCGAAAACACACGTACTCATTTAAGGTAGTTGGTGGCTCGGGAATTTGATACAGTGTATGTGTGATTACGAGCCCGAAGGGTGAAGCTATTTGTGAGTGTGCGTAAGGTTGAGCACCGAACTTTTAAATCGTACTTACCTGTCCGTGTGAATGTCCGTCTGTCTGTGTGTCCGTAAATAACGCGGTTACGTGTACCTGACTCGTACAAAATGCGATCCAGCCTGTTTCCCCCTCATTGGTCGATTCGCGTAATTGGTGTCACTCTAGGTCAGTATTGTGATGCACGCACCTGATTGGCTTAAATCAAAGAAAGGTGAATGTGGTCACACAAGCGAATGCTAGACATTCACAGGCAAATGCTGATTGCGTTGCCCTAGCCTACTATACCGTGTTAATATATTCATTAACAGCATCATACTCCTTCTTCAGTGACTGCTGCTGTGGCATAGTGTTTTGCAACTTATTTCAGTTCTCCGAACTGAATTTCTCATATCAAAGAGCGAGCTCCAGAGCTTGCTCCGCTATCTTTGTAACGGGGCACCCTTTGTCTGGGTGCCACGAAACTTCGCGTACACTAGTACGTGCAGAGGAAGCTAATCTACTTAAACTGTAACGGGGTGAATCGTTACATAACAATTTATAAGAAATTGTTAATAGAATATAACTATAAGAGTTATATTCTCAGAATATTGTCATAAGGACAATATTCTGTAGCACTTACGAGTAGCTCCTAATTGGTTGATATAGGCCATTATATCAACCAACGAAGACGCGCCACGACAGACGCACGCAATGAGTGGTGAGCAGATAACTGATTTACACATTTGTATTTAGACATAGTTAGATGAAGATAAATAGTGATTTATTGCAGACATTAACTATTATAAATACAGTTCTACTTTTACTCTAACCAAGTACTCGCTTCTTCTTACCGTCTTCCTCTGCACGTACGAGTGTACGTGAAGTTACGAGGCACCGCCTTATTCTGTTATCAGAATAAGTAGCTTGTACTGTCACCAGTACAAGCTTCAGGGTGCCCCGTTACACCTGGTAGCACTTCGTAGTCCGTCCAAGGACCGCGTTCACATCCAACATGAATATGTTGGATGATGAAGATGACCAAAGCTTTCACGCTACGCGTGACGGCTACTCCCATTTGAGCGATGTCGAATGGGATGCGGTTGAACGAATGGGTTCGACCATGGGCATCCATGCTGTTAGCGTCATGCTAGAGGCTCTCAATAGAGATGCCCAACATGCTACTATCGCCAAGTTCATTCAAAATGAACTTGACGCAGAACGCGAGAAAGTAGCCTTGCTTCACCAACAAGGTTCTCAACAAGCAGAGTTGTTGAGAGAACAAGGTGCTCAACAGTTTGAACTGTTGAGACAGCAGCAGGCTGCTGCTGGCGGGTCGATGCACTCGCGTCGGCCCGAGACTTTGAAGATTGACATCTCAAAGTATAGGGGGTCGAAGAAGACTCCCTCTTGAGATGGTTCGTCGAATTGGATGACGCCATAAGGGCGCGTCGCATCGACGACGGGGATATGCAAGTTGCATTTGCCCAGTCAAATCTGGCAGGACGTGCCAAGACTTGGGCACTGGGGCTCAAGCTGCACGACCCATACGCGTTTGGGTCGTTGGAAGTCTTCAAGTCGCGGCTCAGACAAACGTTTGAACCGCCTAGAGCTGAGTTCAGAGCTCGAACCGAACTCTTGAAGCTCAAGCAGGGTAAGCGTGATGTGCACGCTTACGCTCAACATATACGACATCTCACGAGTTGTATAAGTTCCAATCCGGTGGATGAACACACGTTGGTTTCGGTGTTCATGCAGGGTCTTGCGGATGGTCCCGTCAAGACTCACCTGTTCCGGCTTGAACTAGATTCACTAGAACAAGCCATTTCAATTGCGGAGCAGGAAGACTTCAGTCTGAGACAGGCTCGCGCCAGCTCGACATCATATCGTCAACCGAGACGATATGACAACGGAGGTCCAGAGCCGATGGAACTCTGTTATGTAGAGAGCGAGAAGGCTCGCTCTACAGGCTACAAGAAGTTGCAGAGATGCAACAGATGTCAAAAGACAGGACACTACGCTTACGAGTGTAGTGCCCCTCGTCCAGTGTCTCGCGACACTGGGCGTAGTGACCGTCCACCCATGAGAAAGGGGCAGGGACGAGGGTCCGCAGTTGGTGCAAAGACGCAACAACGGGATGGACCGTCAAAAAACGGACAGGATCAGTAGGTGCGGAGCACCCTACTGATCCAGCAACGTCAAGAGAATTTGTAGGCCTCTTGATGAAGGTTGATCCCAACACACAGACATTGTGCGTTGCTGCTCTAGGTAATGAGATCTCACTCATTACCTTGAAACTCGAAGTGACGAATAAGTTGTCCCTTCGAGCTCTAGTCGATTGTGGGGCGTCCAACAATTTTGTGCGACGCCAATCGCTAGAAGATGGTCACTTTAAATTCAGTGAATGTGACACACCTCCTACGAGGATGACGGTACGTCTTGCGACAGGCGCATCCGTAACCGTCATGAAGCGTATAGTGAAGATCCACTATACGCTAGAAGATACCCAATACGACGATGACTTTATCGTATTGGATTTGGATGACAAATTTGATGTCATCCTTGGAATACCGTGGCTCAGAAGGTACGAACTACGGGTAAACTGGCAACATCGGACAGTAACGATGCCTGCCGCTTGTTCATCAGATGGCCATCTGATGAACGTTTTGGAGCGTCCACAAGCGTGTGGATGTACTACGAGTGAGTGCGATGGCCTCACTTGTGGTACGGTCGTTAGTACGACTGCACAAAACCTTAGTGTACCAAACGGTTACACTTCGGAGCAAAGTTCCGGCGGCTGTGAGGAAACACAGGCTGCGCCGAAGGTCCACCACTCGAATAAGTCGGGTGGACTGGGACAAAGATGTATCCCTAGAGGGGAACATCTAGAAGAGAAACAATCGATCGCTCAGGTTAAGCGAAACGATAATCCTAGATCGACTGGAGAGTCTTTCGTAGAGGATCTCGCTGTGGTTGCGCAACCCCAGCTAGAGGAAGTAAAGGGAATAAGTCCCAAGATTACAAATACGGCGGAAATAAGTTCCCCGAAACCCGCGGGAATAAGTCCCCGGGAAGACGAAGGAATAAGTCTTTCGAAGCCTGAGGGAATAAGTCCCCAGGAAATGACAGAGACATTGAATGTCATAGTCAATAACGGATCATGTGTAGGCGCTTATACACTTGATCTGATTGCGCCTCCGAAGTTAACTTCGGAGATCACTCAGTTGCCAACGCTCGAACATAAAAGATTCTTGCGTGATCTGCGTAGTGGCAAAGTCAAGCAGATCTGCATACTCGTCGCTGAAGACGAGTATGTAACCGACATAAGGTCAGCAACAGTGTTTACTGAGAACGAGAGAGTTCTCAGTAGTTCATCTATGGACGAGAGTGTCCTAGATGAAAAGACACGAATTGAGCGATATGAGTCCCAATCATGGGAATCGCTCAAGGAAAATCCCTCTCTATGAAGATTTGGTTGAATTCAAGGATGTATTCCCTGAAACTGTTCCGTGCGAATTACCGAAGGATAAAGGTATTCGACACGAAGTCGAGCTTAAACCAGGCTCGAAGTACTGTGTCATGAAGCAGTGGCCACTGCCTCGTGAACAAGTACTTGCGATCGACAAGTTCTTTGCCGATCGTTTAGCAGCGGGCCATGTGAGGGAATCAACTTCCCCACATAGCTCTCCGACCTTCTGTGTGCGAAAAGCAACAGGAGGGTGGCGGATAGTGCACGCGTTTAACAAATTGAACGCTGCAACGGTACCGGCTCAGACGCCGATACCGAGGAAGGACGTAATCATTGATGGTATGTCAAAGAGTACCATCTTTTCGTCCATGGATTTGATGGATGGCTTCTATCAAATCCTAATGCGGGAACGGGATATACCCTATACCGCAGTTAGCACGCCTAGCGGCATGCTCTGGGAATGGCTAGTAATGCCACAAGGGCTCAGTAATGCCCCTGCCACGTTCAACAGGTGTGTATCACATCTGTTGAGGCCAGTACGAGAATTCGCGCCGAGTTATTTCGATGACGTATTCATCCATAGTCGAGCTATGGATGGAAAGTCGGACGTTGAGGTTCACAAGTACCACGCCCGACAAGTTCTTACAATCATGCGAAAGCATCAATTGTATGCAAACCTCAAGAAGTGTATATTTGCAGC